CATTATTTCTTCTCCATTCTTGTTCAATCGCTCCTGTTTATACAATATGGGTATCAATTATCCAACAACTATATTTAAGTTGTAGCAAATCTAGAGTAATGTTTACATAAATCTTATAAAGATATCATTTATGTAATTCAGCTTTTAACAAATTATCTATTTTTTATTAGAAGAATGGAATTGCCTTTAGAAGAAATTGGAATCTATTTCTGTTTTTATTTGAGGGATCATCTTTGAAACTTAAAAATATCTAATTAAAATTGAAAGAAATCGAATGGAATTTTATATTGAATAAACCTATCTTATACTCCCTCTATCCTTTAAAACTTTGTCAACTTTCTTTTGTTATTGTCCCACTAACTTTGTCACTTTCTCTTTAAAGTAAAGAATTAGTGGTTCCAGTTAATTCTCTCCTTTGGACAAATTTCAACCACACGGTTTTACTTTATTAATTCTCGTGCCGGTAAAACTTGGCAAACTTTTAAGGGATGGAGGTAGTAATTAGCTGAATGTAAGGGCTTTAAATCGAACTGTTTGGCAATTATATAAGCAATAGTTGTTGGCAACAAAGTTATTCTTTGATTTTTTTTTTAAATTTAATTAAGAGAAATAGTTGATGGCAATTATTTTTTTTTTAATTTTTTTGATTTATGTTATGTTGGCAAAACATAACATAAATCCCTGCTAGCTGGTCTTTTGTGTCGTCCAGCTCTTAAAACTTCTTTAACAAAGACTTTCGATCAAAGAAAAATTTAATGCTGTAAATTGATAATCATTGCAGACTGAATTAAACACTCACCTAACATGAAAAGTAAAATTATCTCCATTTATTTCCAGCAATAACTACTACGTCCCTTAATTAATGTCACAGTTTGACTTTTGAATCAAACTTGTTAAATACTGACCGCTAATTAGTCAAATTTAACAATATTTTATCCCAAAAAAGTATTCATTGTGCTCCATTGTAATAAGTAATATTAAAATGTTAATTTATTATAGATTATATAAGTATCTATAAATAATACATCTCAAAGATGAAATTTAAGAAACTCTCGTCACACGTCATCTTCTCAACAATTCTATTCCATTAAAATTATAAATACTCCTTCATACGTATATTATACCTCCTAGGTAAACTATTATACTCCTTGGTATATATATATATACTATTAGGGCCCTACCAAAATAAAATCACAATTTTATTTTAAATTATTATAACTTTTTTATTTGTTCTTTGATTGTTATAAGAAGTCTTCCAAAATTCTTAACTTTTTATTATCTTTCATATGACACCAATATTAAATATATAAAAATAAAAAATAATTCAACACTTTAGAAATATCTGTTTTTAAAGTGTTGTATCTTTTTTATTGTACTCTAATTGTTACAAAAAATATATCAAAATTCATAACATTTTATTATTTTTCAAACGACATCAATGTTGTATGTATAAAAAATAATAAAAATCAGGAGTGATAACTTAGAATAAAACTACACAAAGCCCATCACTTTTATTTATTGATTTATTCTTTGCGCTAGAATTTGTGCAATTCTATTCTAACTCATCACTGAGATTAATCAAGTGCATGGTAAAAAACGATCATAAACTCCACAAACTAATACTCCCTTCGGTCCTTATTAAACTTTACACTTTGACTTGACATATATTAAAAAAATAGATTTGACTTTACTGTAGAGTACACTATTTGGCACTGTTTGACACTATTTTGCAATGTTTTATGTAGATTTGTTTGCCAAACAAGGCAAATAAGGAAGTGTAAAGTTTAATATGGAACGGCCCAAAAAGGAAAAAGTAAAGTTAATTAAGGACCTGAGGGAGTAGATTTTTTATATATGCAACCAGCTGGGCTGGAATGCTTGGTTAATCTCTTATATATATTTTGGTGGTTTGCCTTCCGGGTTAATATATATATATATATATATATATATATATATATATATATATATATATATATATATATATATATATATATATATATATATATATATATATATATATATATATATATATATATATATATATATATATATATATATATATATATATATATATATATTGGCGTCATTTAAAGATAATAAAAATTTATGAATTTGATATGTTTTTTGTGACAATCGGAGTAAAAATAAAAATGTTACAACACTTAAAAGAACAGATGTTTTAAAGTGTTAAATGAATTTTATAGGCAATTGTCTTTATTAATAAAGACCTCTATGATTTCCATGGTTGCAGAAACCCCCATTGCAAGAATAAAAAGAGAAAAGCCAATATTTATAGATGGTTGCCTCTCCTTTGTGACAAATATTTGGTCAATATTGCCATTACTTAGTCTGTTATGAATTTTAAGAGTGGGATTGTCGTCCGAAATCATAACGGGGAGTTAGTTTTTCACCTTCATGGCGACTTCTTTGACACTTCTTCCTTCACATCGTTTTTTGAAACCATTCTCATTGCGATTAATGTTTCCGGGAATAGGTCTCTAAGAATCCACAACTTGAACCTCGATAACAAGCAAGTCAAAAAAGCATTCAACACCATTGCAAAGACCACTGGGACAACATCTACACGATTTCGAGAATTAGGAAGATCCTGCATCAAGATTACACTATCATAAACTTTATCACTAAGAATACCAATGCGGTTGCTAGATATATTAACCTTACGCATGATGTGAAATCTTCCCACTTCTTGAAGATTATAAAATTTGATGGTATTGGTTTTCTGTATGTTGTTTGACTTTCCCGGCCGGAGGCTTTAGCAAATGTTCTCCTACACCTCTACCTCTGTAAATGTCATGCTTATTTGTATTTATTTGTGATTGAATTACGTTCAAACACAAATTTTTACAGCTAGTAACTCATTAGCGCATAACCCTTAACTCATGAACTAATAACCGTACGGTGTGTCCTACAAATTCTCTTTATGATATTGAACAACTCTATTGATTATCAAATCCCAGAGTTTTGCCATGATAAGCTATATATATCACTATGAATTTCCCTTTAGCTTTCACTCTTCCCAGCATGTTAGAATTAACAACTTTTAACTGTTTTTCTAGATTTCCTCTATACTTCAATAATGTTTCCTCTTATGAGATTTGATTTGCTTTATAATCTATTTATACGAAAAAATGATAATAATAAAAATTCAAATTGTTCATGGTCCTCACTTAATAATCTCAATGAGGCAATGATTGATTATTTCAAAGTAATCCCCATCTTTATGAACCTTCCGTCAATATTGGTCTCATGTGACAGACTACATGTTCAATCGATTAACAAAAAAATTTATCTATAAATATTACACTTAAAAGATACAATTATAAAAACATTTGTCATGTGTCATTTTCTAAGCAAACCTTCATGAAAATATTATATATTCTCTTTCAATTTTATTACTACCCCCTTCCCGGTGGACTTTGTCAAGTGCAAAGTAGGTGAAAAATAAGAATAGTAAAAATTGTGTGGTTGAAATTTGTGCAGAGGAGAGAGAAATGTGCAGAACCACAAATTAGTTGCTTTAATATGAAAGTGACAAAGTTTTTTGGGACAATGAAAAAAGAAAAAGTTGGCAAAGTCCAATGGGACGGAGGTAGGGATGACGATTTAACCCGATCCGATGGATACCCGCACCAAACTGAACCGGTCAAAATGGCGAAAATCGCTTTGACTGGGTAACGGGTATGGGGCGGGGAATACCCGATTTATGTAAACGGGTAATGGGGCGGTTATGGGTTTATACCTTCCGCCCCGTTACCCGCCCCGTTACCCGCCCCGTTACCCGCTCCGTTTAATTTGGATATGGTTACCCGCACCATTACCCGACCCGCACAATAATTTACATATTATAATAGTTTATGTATTTATTATTTAATATATTAAGTATATATGAATAGTATTACATTAGTATATGACACTTATTCCCTTTAGTTTTTTGAAAAATATTCAACTAATCGGCTATCCTTTGCATTTTTTCTGAGGAGTTGGTGCTCAAAGTTCACTATTTTAGATTTTTAATTTTCAATATCATACATCATCCTTCCTTTGTTAACTTCTACATGATTTATTTTCTTCACATATTGATTATTTGTTTTTCGTGATTTTGTGTACACAATTTTCACATTGTGACTCTCTTAATTTTTCACACAATAACTTTCACAAAGCTCACATATGAGTTTAAAGTCCAAATTTTGGGAAACATTACTCTAGATTGCTTTAATTTATGTAATTGCTAATAATTTTGTAGAGGTGTATTGGATGATTAGATTAATTTTGATTGGTTGCTCTAATTTATATCAAGTTTAAATTTAAATTATGATGTTTCTAAAAAATCATAGTATTAGAAGTACATTTTTTAGAAATAATTCCAAATTTATAATCAAAATAAAAGTTGTGGACGAAAATGCTACTCTAGTAACTTTAGTATTTATAATTTTATTCAAATGTTATATCGTAGTGACTATAAAACTTACCCATGGTAACTTATAGTCACATTTATGTCCATATATTTTTTATTAGTAATATTTTAGGGAAAAAAACTTCTCATTTTCATTATGTTGCTTGTATGCATTATTGTTCTTAAATTTAGATGTTGAATGATGGTAGGTATGATTATTGAATTTTTGGAAGTTAAATGTGTTTGTAATTCATATTTAGATTTTACTATCGAGACAAGACTTAATCTTTTGACGTTGATGTAGTTAGAGATTCATAATTTTGAATCTAGACATATATAATTTGTGAATATTAGGTTCAAATGATTATAATTTTTTGTGATGTTTTAAAAAACTTTATCTATGGTGCCATTTAATTTTGATTTTTTTTAATTTAGGTGGTCAATTATAAGTAGTTAATCATCATTTTAGGATTTATACTAATTTTGAAGAAAAAAAATTATCTTTTTGTCTGTGCCATAGACATTTCTTTTTGTTTGTGTCACATAAAAGGAAAAAATTGTTTTACGGACAAAATTGAGCGTATACCAAGCATGTACGAGTTTTGCGTGTGCACGAAGTACCGTTTTGTAAATTAAAAGGATATACATTTGGAAAGGGAATTGGTTTGGAGTAATATTTGAATCACTTATTTGATACCGAGTACAATTAATACTTTGATTTTTCTTCACACATTTTTCAATTCTTAGAAAACAAAATATAGAGAGCAAGAGCTGTTATGCTAATTAAAGACACAACCATGAGCTGTGTTGTGCAATTTGGAAAATTGGTTTATGTTTTCAGTTTGTTCTAAACTTCCTCTCATGTGAAAGCAACTTAGCAAAGCGGGTGAGAGCTTCTTCATTTGTGCCTTCTCCTTGAACCGCTTCAAATCTTCCACTATCCAAATTCAGCCTCGAAACTGACTTCTTCAAGAGACCATTGCCAATCTGTTCAAGCAGGCCCATGTTTTTCACAGACGCATCATCAGACGATGATGTTGTCCCCGTAAGCATATCATCCTGCACAGTTTAAAAATCATTAACGAAAGGATTAGTACCCACTACAAAAAAAATATGGGATTGACACGTAATTTGGCACGGACTTACCGATTTTTTGTGCCAAATAGCTCGTACCAAAGTGTTTTTGGCACGGATTTGGCATTTCCCTGCCAAAATCCCTGCCAAATCCTTGCCAAAATCCCTCTCAATCCCATGATTTTTTTGCAGTGACCCAAGACTCATTTCACACACAAATCTATTAATTAATACATAAAACCATGTGCACCAATTATAAGGCTAGCTCATTTAAGGCTTGTCTCACTTATTCATGTTTCCCTGAATTGTTTGGCTCGATGTAAGTTAAGGGTCACGTTGAAATATAAAAATTTTGTCTCTGTTTGGTACTACATCCGTCTCAAATTGATTTGCAAATTTGACTTTTCTTGGTCAAACAGTTTCATTTTATTTGCTTAATTAGGATGTCAATTTTTAACTATATTCTAATTTGAAGTTTGCAACTTTGAAGAGAATTTAATGTAGTTCATGAATATGTAAAGTTTAATTATTAAAAATTGAGTGAATTATTGATAGGGGGGTTTGACTTTTAAAGTTGATTAATTAAAAAATATTGACTTTTCAAAACAATTTGGGACGGAAGGCGTATAAAATAATAGACTAATATATAAATAAATCGTGTCATGGATAGAACCTATATCTTGTTCATATGGGTATGCAAAAACGGTACGTTACCTATAAACATTGTACGCTTATATACTTTAACTCTTAAATGAAACAAATCAGTACCTTAACTATGTGTAAATGTTTTAACCAGCAATACAATGCAAATCCTATATGGCGGCCACAATTCTATGTCATCACTATACGGTATATTATACCCTTGGAATTATGGCTGCCACGTAGGATCGGAGTTCTGATCGAAAAATTGTATCGTCGTTTGGTATATTTAAGCATAATTATGGTAGTGACTTGTTTCATTTAAGAGTTGGTAGCAAAGTGCAACAATACTACTTCCTCCCTCCCATTTTTGTTGTCCTACTTACATTTTTTGTTTGTCACAAAATGAATGTCATAGTTCCTTTTTTGATATGAAATATGTGGTCTTTATCATTCCACATTATTCTACTCAAATTTCAAATACAACATTTACTTTTCAACCACTTTATTAATAATCGTGTCAAATTAAAATTGAACAATCATTATGGAACAGAGGTAGTACGCAGTACTGCATAATACTTAGGGTATTATATTACTTGTGCATTGTACCCTATTCGTGCATTTGTAATTTTAAATATGTAGTACACATGGTGTGTGATACTCTCTCCGTCCCAAAATGAATTTCACAGTCACTATTCACATGGTCAACTTAAATTACTCTTAATCTTATGTTTTATATAACAAATTTTTATCAAATTTATATTTTTTTATCAGCCTTTGTAGCGGTTTTAATGTAGTTTCTCAATATGTAAATTTTTATATCAAATTTATATTTTTTTATCAGCCTTTGTAGCGGTTTTAATGTAGTTTCTCAATATGTAAATTTTATTTACTAAAAGTAATCTGAGTATGATCAGGAATCGAGTTGCTTTATCGTCAGTCAAGTATCGTAATCCGAAATGGGAAGTTCATTTTGAGACGGAGGTAGTAATTTGGTTCAAGTGCATTGTAATAAGTTAAGTGTCGCATTTGCAAATTACACACTCCATATGCTAACTTACATACCTGAATCCTAAGATAGTTTTTCTCATTGCGGAGGGACTGAAACAAGGTGGAAACATGGATGTCTACCATATCCGCACTAGCAGCCCCATACATATCTATTAATGGAGTTTGACCATTCATGATGTTGATCACCCAAGACAGAGAGTCCCATGTGGAGGCCATGGTAGCATTGTATTTCTCTTCATTCCTTGCTACCCCCCGTCCCCAATGACAAAACCAGCAGTCTCGTTGTGTTAATTTTCTGCATGTCTTGAAACTGAAATTTCTCCTTCAAGATTTCCTTTGAGATATGGGTGATTGCCATCATAGTCTGGTAGATGCATGATATGGTAAGCCATAGAAGTACATATTATATATGAATGATGGAGCAGAGAAAGTAAAGAAGAAAGTGTTGGAAAAAAACAAAAACAAGAATATAAAACTCTCATGAATTGAAGTCGTAACCTAATATGGAATGATAAAATACATCAACAAGTGTGTGATCTATGAGGATTTCTAGTGTCTTTATTTTAAGTTATACCTCATGCTAGGTATGTGCGTCTTGTATCAAAGTAGGACGCTACGTTCACTGCCTTCGGGTCGGGGGTAGCCCCTTGTGGTGTTATCATCCAGTAAGTGGCCGCCTCATACATAAATACGGGTTGGGGAGATTCAGATCTCATCGACGTAGGACGATTGGATGTGTCTGATCGTCCCTTCAAGCGGCTTGTGTTTGACCTAGCATATAGTGGCTAGATAGTACTTTTTTGGGATAACGTATTAATTTTTTCTAGGGTCATTCTTGTTGTACACAAAGTATATACATAAATTGTATACTACCCGTAAACAGACAATTGATAACTAGAGGGGGCGTTAAATTTGTGTACTAATATTGTGTACACATATTATTTCCTTTTTTTCTATCGATAAAGACATTCTTTTTGGGATCCCATTCAATTAATCAATTCCATTTGATTTTGAGGGGGAAGACTCTTCCGAACAGGAGCCTTAGTCCAATTAACCGGCCTGAAATATGGTCCAGTCAGCCTATGTCCTCGCTGATTTTAACTAGTTGGCTAAACTCGGAGAGAATCCTCATGGGCTCATGGCCTGCTTTGTTGGACCGTAACTGTAATGGGCTGGTCCAAGCACATAACTGATTTTAACTCATGGCTAAATATATACAAATCGATCAATACACACATGTCACATTGTCAGGGTCGGTCCTGACATTTTATGGGTCCGGGGTGATACATATAGAGTAGACCTTAAGGACAACGTGTGAATTTGTTCATAAAAACTATAATTAAGTATATTTAAGCATTTTTTTCATTCAAATACGAGTAAAACATATCAAAGAAATTAATAAAGAACGGTTAGAGAGATTATATTTAAGTTTTTGATAATTGACATTTGAGAATACCATGTACCAAAACGGCTCAATGGAAAAGTAGAATGATTCTAAGTACATAATTTTGAATTGGGGAAAGACGCGAAAGTTATATAGCTTATGGAGTAAAGTTTTCATATTTTGATTCACATTTTCACTAGACTAAAACAATTTGCAAGTTTCTAAATCCTTGGTACCCTAATTTAATCTTTCACTATCAATGAATCATGAGTTTACATGAGAGAGATAAATGAAAATATTGACATTTATGCAATAACGTACACTTAATGAATCAAAAGAAAAGTGTGAAATTTGTTCACAAAAATTATGGTATAGATGTTTCAAAATTTTAGAATTGTAGTTTGTAGATGTTGAAATAAAAAAATGAACGTAATGAAAAAATTATAAGTTTGATTTTATTTTTAAATTGTTATATATTAAAATACAAACACATACACACACATATAATAAAATTATGGTCAGTTCGGACCGACAAGAACCGCTTTGCGGCCAAGCCCGTTTGAGAGCTTTCCGAGTTACATTTTTTTATGAAAATTTGTGAACATGTTCGTCATAAAGTGTAGCACATTCGCTCAAAATTTCAGCTTAAAATTCTATTTGAAAATCAGTTATATAAATTGTTGAAAAACATTGTGATTTTTATGCATATGTTTGTGCAGTATTTTTGAAGAATTTATTTAACTGACTTCCAATTGAATTTTTTGATGAAGTTTTATGTGAATGTTTTACATTTAATGAAGAACGTGCTCACAAAATTTCATTAAAAAAATCAATCCAAAAGGCTCTAAAACGAAATTGGCCTTACGGCGATTCTGGTCAGTTCAGATTGACCAAAATATTCCTGATATATAAATGGAAATTTATGAGCCCTGGACGCATGCCCCTTTGCCCATGCTCCAGGACCGGCCCTGCACATTGTGCAATTCTCATAAAAGGATACTTCATGTGAAATGGGACATATACATTTTTTTCAGTGCAGAATCACGTCGTGATGTTTGTAAATCAGTGCCTTCAATTTTTTAAAATTTATTTACAAAAATTGCACACTTCTCATGATTTATGATAATGCACATTTAAACTAGAATAGTAAACACTCATGAAATCTAATATTGGGACTCATTTTTATTTGATCCAAATTACATGCACTTCAAATTTTCCTAAATATTTTTGAAATAAAATTTATTATATACTCCCTCCGTCCCAAAATTATTGTCCCATTTTCCTTTTCGGTCCGTCCCAAAATAATTGTCCCGTTTCTAAAACTTCCTTATTTGGTAAACAAATCTATAACAAACAGTGTCAAACAGTGAAAAACAGTGCAAAACAGTGTCACTACAGTGCCAAACAATGTCGCTACAGTTTCATTTTCTTAAGGAAAAATTGATTGTAATAATCCCAACTATTGGCGGTCCGCTTATAATAATCCCAACTATCGATTATTTCAGAATAATCTCAACTTTAGGGACCGTCCGCCAATAATGGTCCATGACCACATATTACCTCCTCTAACAAGTGATTTTTTAATAGAAATTAAGCGTAAAAATTAACATTTGGGATTATTTATAGGGATTACTTGCTATATCTCTTTAGAAACTATAAGAATTTATTTAGTCGGTCACGTCGGACCATTATTGGCGGAAGGTCCCTAAAGTTGGGATTATTCTGAAATAATCAATAGTTGGGATTATTATGAGCGGACCGCAAATAGTTGAGATTATTACAATCAATTTTTCCTTTTCTTAATCTGTGTGAAAAACCAAACGAGGCAATAATTTTGGGACGGAGGGAGTATAATTTTTTACTAAAGTTACTTTGAGTGTGTCATTATGGTCAACGTTACAAAATATAAAGTGAAACATAGTCACATTTAATAAAATATGCATTTATGGTTGCTGTGTATAGAGTCATATTCGATCGACGTTTTTAATTTAATCATGTATTAATCATTTTTTTTAATGATCATGTGAGTTTTGAAGAGCATCAAAGTTAACTTATAATTGCGCCTTTTTCCTTGTTTTCAAATTTTGGTTCAAGTTTAAAGAAATGAAAAGTAGAGAATCTCCCCAAATTGGGCCTAGGTTTTTTCTGGCTGTATTGGGCCTAGGTTTCTAACTTCCTCCAACACAAAATACTCCGTAAAATATATGCCAGCGCTATGAATTACTCCATACAATAATTAATTTTAAGTGTAAATTCATTTATACGTAGTGGTGTGGTATTATTAGGTGTTCAAAAGTTATCTAAATATTCAACATCTAATAATTCAAATGATAAAAAAAACATCTAATAATTCAACGCCAGATATATAAATACATTTCATGCAATAGCAATCGATCAGAGGTTCAATTTTTCTTTTTTGTTGACTAGTTTTATTTAGCATTTTCTCATTCAAACCAAATACTCCCGTGCCATATTGAACTTCAAAGTTTGACCTACACACATATTAAAGAAATAAACTTAACATGGGCTAAATTTTACTGTTTGACACTGTTTTGCACTGTTTTGCACTGTTTTGCACCGTTTCGACATTGTTTGACACTGTTTCGCACTGTTTGACACTGTTTTTATGTAGATTGACTTGCCATTTAAGGAAATGAGAACTTGTTTCTGGGAAATCCAAAAAAGAAAAGTGAGAAGTTCATTGCGAGACGGAGGGAGTAATTCTTAGTCCTATGGAGGTTTTTTTATTTATCTCCTCTTTGCAAAAAAGTATCAATTACACATTATTAATTTATTATTGATATGAGCAATGAAAGTTATGAATCCCTTATATTATTATTGTTATTATTATTAAGTATATTTAGGAAACTTCTTAACTAATATTTATCTCCTTTTATAAATATTCCTATTCTGCTTTAAATAACGTCTTAATTAATTAAAATTCATTTCTTTTGATAATTAGGGCTCTTGTAATGGCTATGTAAGGGTCATCCGTATTTTCAATGTCTTGATTAGGTTACACACCAATTAATTCTAGTTCAGTCTTATTTTATTGTTCATTTCACATATTCTCTATTTTTTAGATTTGAAACGAGATCCCAATCACGCCCTTAAGTCACGCGATGATCGAACTTCATAAAGTCGAGCGCGACGGAGGGATATCGATATATAATTAAATACGGAGTACAAACGTACTTTAAAAAGTATTTATGAACAAATAAATTCTCACCGGATTACCAGCAGCAATTCCTCCATCAACGAGATTGAAGCTATTCACACCACCACCAACATCTCTAGTCTCAAAATAGTAAGGCGGGAAAAAGGTCGGTGCTGCCGAGGTACTTATACAAACATCTGAAAGTAGTGCATTCTTGGTAGGATTTGCTTTAGCCTGCACATATCATTTTTTTTGTATTAAGTTTAATAAATGTAGAAAACACAATTTGAGTTCCAAAAATATATACTCCCTAGACTATAGAGAGAAAGCACTCCAAAAATATATACTCCCTAGAAAAAAGCATCGCACGGGTAGCTCAGTTGGTTGAGTGATGGGAAATTTGGATCAAGCGACCAAGGTCCGAATCCCGTAGCGACCGTGTGGAGGTTACAACCTCTGAAATGAGTTGGGCCTCTGGCGCGCATGGGTATATGAGCCTACTGCCACTTCGCTGACTGAGTTACCGTGATTTACCTCCTCCCACATGCCCTGTCGGGTCGGTGTGTGGGGTCTTCGGGCAGTGGCGGATCTGTGATATGAGCTTTGTGTGTTCATTTTTTTCTATAAAATTTCAAGACAATAAATAATTAAACTAAATTTATACATGTATACTAACACATTTTTCAAAATTATGGGTGTTCATGTGAACACCTTTGAAGTAAGGTGGCTCCGCCACGGACTCCAGGGTGGAAGATTCCACCTTTTTTTATCAAAAAATACAAGTCTTTAATGTACATACCTCAGAAGTTGTGAAAATAATGGGCTGAAGGCGCTTGATATCAAATGTTGGTATGATGGAACAAGTTAATGTTTGGTTCATTCTTGTGCTTCCCAGCATATCTTTAACCATTGATCTCAGGTACTTCCCGTCATATTTCGGCCCCGTTGATACATTCGAGCTGTTATTCATTCATTATAGAAACCACATCCAGTATGAGTAGCAATTGAAGAGTGTCTAAACAAAGGGTGTCTAAAAATTGATAAATAAAACTTAAAACGTATCTATGAACTTAAATAATTCTGAATTATTTTATTTAAAAACAAAGGGAGAACTATCAAATAAGCCCTCGAACTTTCATAAAAAGTGCAAATAAACCCTTTTATAGGAGACTCTGTCCGACCGTCGCCATTTGAAGCGGGTTCCGGTTGAATTTTTTGATGAAGTTTTTTTAGCATCTTCTTCATTAAGTCTAGTTTACTCATACCAAATTTCATATTAAAATTCAATCGGGAAGGCAGTCGAATGAATTTTTGAACATAACTGCGCAGTTAGGCAGCGCAGTATATTTCAGAAAATCATTTGACTGCCTTCTCGATTGAATTTTTAGCTGAAATATGGTATGGGTAAACTAGACTGAATGAAGAAGATACTCAAGAAATTTCATCAAATTCTTCCACCGATAACCGCCCCAAATAGCGACAGGCGGACAAAGCCTCATGTAAAAGGGCTTATTTGCACTTTTTATGAAAGTTCGAGGGATAATTTGATAATTCTCCCAAAAACAAAATTTAAAACAAATCATCATTCCTAATATATAATTAAAATAAGAATAGTGGACAAAAAGTTAAGTAACTTTTAGTGATTATATTGTGTCTAAAGTAAAAAAAAATTGTGTCTAAAGTTTAATTACATGGTACTGACTATATACGTATATTTATAGACTAAATGAACTTAAAATTAAATTTAGAAGGATCGCTAGTTGTCTCAATTGACTACCTTCGGAACTCAAACCAAAACCAACCGAGTAACCGACAGGGATTCTCAGGATTTAAAGTGCATTCAGAAAATCAGAGTATATTCAATTAATGATTAAATATAACAAAAAGCAATTTTCAAATTAAAGTCTTACATTATAGCTAAATGACATTGGATGTGTCAAAAAACTAATTAAGTACAACTCGTCGAACATTTTTAGATACAAATGTATTAATCAATGAATATAGCTAATTCATCCGACCTGTTTTTAGACATGGTTGAAGATGTACTATCTGAAGTGTCTCTTTTATTCGAAATCAAGTATTACATACTTATTGATGTTTCCGTCTGACTTTGAGGTAATGATTCAATACACAGTTTTCTTTTTCTCTTTTGAAATCGAGACAGGTTTTAGAGGCATGGCACTAAAAAATAAATGAATACATAATTTAGCGAAACCCTTAACAATATATATTAGTAATTTTCTCTACAAAATACAAAGCATTTAATTAATTGTGCATTGAGAATTCCATAATTGCAATATTGATAACACTAAATAAAAAACAAGCAAGAATCAATTAGTATTTAAAAATTTACAAATTAGCCCATTTGACATTCATACATGACAAATTAATTATACGTCACATTAGCACTTATCAAATCAATATAAAGTTGGAAGATTTCTAGAAATACTAACAAATAACTAACTAAAAAATAAAAAAGCATAGACTGATTGAAATAACTATGGATCCTGGAGCCTAGAAGTATAGAATTAGAAGTTGAACCCAAGAGGGAAAAAATGAAAAATAACTATAAAATACAAATTTTTTACAATTTTTTGGGGCCTTGAAGCCCAAACTCTCTAGCCTTACATAAGGCACGGCCCTGGGTCTTACTATTAAAAGTGCAAATGAATTTTTTTGAACTGATTTCTTTTGTTTGGGGTAGACTGTTTTGATATGATCTATTTAAGTTGAGTCTAGTCTAATGAATGTTTGGTGTATGTTTATTTTACTACCGTATATGTCTGGTCTAATCTGATTTGTTTAAATCTAATTTGTTTTGATCTATTTAAAATTGGATTGGTCTGGGATCAATAGTAGTCCAATAAAAATATCCTGACCAGTTTAGCGGACATAATAATTACAATAATTGCAACACACAATTTAAATCATAAGAGGATTTCGCTAGAATATTAATGTTACAAAATTTATAAATAAAAATATAACTTAAGTGATTATTACCGTCTAATGTGTAGTACTACCTCCGTCCCGAAATGAAGTTCTCATTCACTATTCATTAGTCAATTTAAATCACTCTTAATCTTTTACTTTATATAACAAATTTTAATCAAATTTAAATTTTCTTGATAAGGCTTTGAAGCGGTTTTAATGAAGTTTCTGAATATGTAAATTGTATTTACTAAAGAAAATCTGAGTGTGAATAGGGATCGAGTTGTTTTATCGTCAGAACGGGAACTTATTTACGGGACCAACCGAGATGAGTATAATTTCACGGTCGAGAGAGTACAAAATTACAGTCATAAGTCATAACTCATAATCATCAAAGTCAATTATATCATTGCTACTAATTAATACGGAGTATCATTGCATGCGTTGTACCAGATGTAACATATTTGTCGTATATCAATGTAACATCTCTATGTTAGTAATGTATGGTCACTATTTCAAAACATAAACGTAAGTTACGTGACACCAAACTAGATATACGGTGAGATTGAAATTTACAAGTCTGAAGTCTTAATCGGCATAATTAAATGATATGCATCATAACTCAATTTCAAATTATAAATATTGTTTCTACACGTCAAGTTGTAGACAATATGTTACATGTCGGTCCAGTTGCTTGTGCGCAATCAATCGTTTTTCGCCGGTCAATCGTTCGTTTTGTTGGTGTGAAAAAACGATTCCTTTCACAAAACAAAACAAAAAGTTGTTTTGCACACACAATTTGACAGGCGTGCAAAATGTTGTGTACAACTAGGGTGTACACGAAACATGATTAATTTCAAATTGTACTAATAAGCACAAGTTGAGTTTGATTTACCTGGTTGTAGAGAATATTTTCGGGCCGTGTTCCTTGTAAAAGGAGGTGATATTCTTTGCTTCAAAGAGGGGTCTCTTATCCTTGTTGGGAGCAGTAAGCATGGTGGTGACTAATCCTCCTGTGCTCGTTCCGGCCACCACATCGAAGTAGTCCGCGATTCTTGCGTTTGGTCCGTCCAATTCCTGAAGCCTGGACTCCAGAAACGCCAGAAGGATACCTGGAATTATCCCCCTTATTCCTCCCCCGTCCACACTCAGAACTGTGACCATATTGGCTTTTCTAGCCGCAGCCATAGCCATGGGAGGTCTTCCCATGATTGTAAGCAAGGCTAGTAGAGACAACATCATTGTACACTTGCCCATATTACCCAAATTTTCGAATCTTAATTGAAAAATATACTCCGTATATGTATATGGTGATCAAGAAAAAGGAAAGAAATTAAAAGAAGTTGAGCTTTGTTAATGAGTGACAACCTACGGTCTTATTTATAGTACGTTGTATATGCGTGTGTGGATTCACTTCTTCAACCGCTTCTAGATGTCGAGGTTGTGTGGTGGGAGACTTTGCGGCCAAAGAGTGTTCATACATGCACTTTTTCACGTTTCTCATTTGACTATTACAAATGTAGTGTCCCAAAATATATTCTACTTGAGGATCACTTATTTCCGTGGGAGAGAAAGATTCGAATGTGCAAATTCGTTCTTAAACTAAGAGAGAATTTCCTAAATAGGATTAAAAGAAGATAACATTGTAAAAATAGGACATAAAATTTTAAATTCCTTTAATAGGACTAATTATTTGTATTTGGACAAAAAGACCTTTCTTAATTGTTGCTGTTAGGATCGTATCCGTCTCCGGCTCAGGTCTCCAACCACTCTAGACTAAACTCACACACACCCTCTAGGGCTAGGTCACAACATCTCCCATGTTTACTCACTCTTCTTCACTCCACAAAGGAACTCTCACACAAGGAAAGGAAGAAGGAAGACACTGCTCTCTGGAAGAGGAATTCACGCAGGCTTATCTCAAAGGGGCAAACAAAAGGACTACAAATAGGCTGCCAAGGAAAGTCAGAGGTGAGGCTTATCAACAGGGTGTCACAGGCTGCAAGACAGGAGGTGCAGCGGACAACAACAAAAAAAGGGGGCTCACATATTGTAAGTCAACAGGCACCAATGAGTGATTTCAACTAAGGGAATCAAAGTGGGAGTAAACATGGGGTGCAAGCCTTAATAATAAAGTGGAAGGGAGGCCTTGGTAGGACCAATACCTCCAACATTCTCCACCTTATTGGTCCTAGGTGGTGTAGAGTAGCAAAACAGGTTGTGAGGAGACTCATCATCGCCGGGTCACCCGGAATATCAACAGATAAAACGGGCAAACACTTTATTACGCAACCCACAGTTATCCACAGTCAAAGTTTAACATGCGTTTACAGGACAAGTGCTTCTCAGCAGAAAGACACTTGGTACCCATATCCGCAGGGTTAAACTCTGACGGGATCTTGCACAGCTTGACTCCACCTGCATCAACAATATCACGTATGAAATGGAACCTAACATCAATATGTTTAGTTCTATCATGAAATACAGGATTTTTGCAAAGTTGGATAGCCGATTGGCTATCCGAGAAAATGGTAACTCCCTTTTTGAGAAACCCAATTTCGGAGACAAGGCGTTTGAGCCAGATGGCTTCCTTAAACGCTTCTGTGGCTGCAACATACTCGGACTCAGTGGTAGAAAGGGCCACAATAGGCTGTAGTTGAGACTTCCAACTAATGCAAGAGCCACACAAAGTAAAAACATAAGAAGTGGTCGACTTCCTGTTATCTCTATCATTTGCATAGTTAGAATCAACATAACCAATCAATTCAATACCACTAGCACATTTAGAGAAAATTAATCCATGCTTCACAGTAGAAATCAGATATCTAAGCAACCACTTAAGAGCATTCCAATGGGGCAAACCAGGGTTGGACATATATCTACTCAAGCAACTAACCGCATATGCAATATCAGGTCTAGTGCTAACCATAAGATACATAACCGACCCTATTGCGCTGGAATAGGGCACAGATTTCATTTTCTCAATTTCAGGAGCAGTCTTGGGAGACTGGTCCTTACTTAACACAAAGTGAGATGCCATAGGGACATTAACAGGAGAAGCAGATAACATATTGAATTTACTCAAAACTTTTTCTATGTAAGAAATCTGATTCAAAGTAAGAGTGCGCTTACTCCTATCCCTAACAATGTTTATGCCTAAGATCCTCTTGGCATCACCTAGGTCTTTCATGGCAAAATTCGCACAAAGACATTTTTGCACATCTTTAATAGCATTCAGAGAAGGACTAATTATCAGCATGTCATCCACATAGAGTAACAAAAATACAAACACAGAGGAAGTATTCTTGAAATACAGACAATGATCACAAACAGATTTTTGGAACTTCAAAGATATCATGCATTTATCAAATTTGATGTTCCACTGCCTAGGGGATTGCTTCAGGCCATACAATGCCTTCCTAAGCAAACAGACATGCTCACTTCTCTTGGGATCCACAAAGCCCTCAGGCTGGGTCATATAAATTGTTTTGTCCAATTCACCATGCAAAAAAGCAGTAGTTACATCCATTTGTTTCATTTCCCAGTCATGGTGAGCAACTAAAGCAAGCATCATACGAATAGTGGTGAATTTAACAACAGGAGCAAAGATTTCTGCATAATCTACCCCCTCTTTTTGAGTAAACCCCTTCGCAACCAACCTAGCCTTAAACCTAACATCACTAGATTCTTCCTTAACCTTAAACAACCACTTACACTCAACTACCGAACAGTTGGGGGGTCTAGGTACAAGGGTCCAAGTCTGGTTCACTTTCAAAGAGTCCATCTCACTTTTCATGGCACTAATCCATTTCTGAGACTCTTTGGAACCTAATGCTTCACGGTAGGTCTTGGGTTCATTCAGCTCTAGGGATTCAAACACAGAAAAAGCAAACATAGAAGTATCATGCACAATGAAAGCATAATCAGGCATACTATCAGCAGTTCTCCTAATAGCCCTTCTACCCCTATCTCTAGCAAGTTGATAATCATGCAAATTATCACTACTAGGCTCCACATGTAACTCATGCAAATTATTGTTGTCATGAAAATCAGATTCAGCACCCATGTCATGCAAATCATGCTCAGTATCATGCAAATGCTCCACCTCACTCGAGGTGGTGGGACTATCATGCTCAGATGAATCAGAATCATGCATAACAATATCATCAGTAATAACAGGATCAACAGATAAAGGACTAGCAGCAACAGGGACAAACTCCACCTCACTAGGAGTACTATGTGACCTAGACTCAGGATTAGAAACAGACTCGGTCAAGCAAGGAAAATCAGTTTCATTAAACACCACATTTCTGCTAAGGACCACCTTAAAGCCTACCTGGTTCCTATCCCATAACCTGTAACCCTTTACCCCCTCTGGATAACCTAGGAAGACACATTTCTTAGACCTAGGATCCAACTTGTCACCCTGTTGATGTGCATACGCTGCACAACCAAACACCCGAAGGTTAGACAGATCAAGAGGCTTACCGGTAAAGACGGCTTCAGGACATTTACCACCAAGTGGGACAGACGGGGACCTATTCACCAAATAGGCAGCAGTAGTAACTGCTTCACCCCAGAATTTCTTAGACAAACCAGAGGTAGCTAACATGCTTCTAACCTTATCCAACAGAGACCTATTCATTCTCTCTGCTATCCCATTCTGTTGGGGAGTATAAGGCACAGTTTTGTGCCTTTTTATCCCACAATCCACACACAGCTTATCCATCTCCTTATTACAGAACTCTAACCCGTTATCGGTCCTAAGGGTTTTAACCTTCCTGCCAGTTTGGTTTTCAACTAGGGTTTTCCACTCCCTAAACTTCACAAACACATCAGACTTGTGTTCTAAAAGGCTAACCCACACCTTCCTAGAGAAATCATCAATAATAGAAAGGAAATATTTCCTACCCCCGTGGGTAGGAACACTGGCAGGACCCCAAACATCGGCATGAACATATTCAAGCACAGACGAACACTTAGACAGATTAGGGTAAGAGGAAGGAGGGAAGCTGACTCTATGCTGCTTGCCTAACACACATGATTCACAGAAAGGCACAGAAGTCACAGAGTCCTTACCAAAATAACCAGCCCTACGCATGACATCTAAACTCTTATTGCTCATATGTCCTAGCCTATTATGCCACAAAGAGGTCTTATCAGAACATACAACATTCACAGACTCAGTAAAAGGTTTAGCATGACACACATAAAGGTTATTCACCTTCTCAGCTTTAAACAACACAAGAGAATTTTTCAAGATTTTCATGCAACCATTCCCCCATTTTCCCTGTAAACCACTACTCTCCAAAGCAGCAACAGATAACAAGTTATGACACAAATCAGGGACATGCCTCACATTCTTAATGGTAAACACAGAGCCACAAGAAAACTTCAGACATATATCACCCACACCAAGCACATTGCATCTCTTATTATCAGCTAAGGAAACATAGCCACTATCACATAATTCATATGTAGAAAACAAATCTCTAAAGGGGGACATGTGATAGGTACAACCAGAGTCAATCAACCATTCATGCTCAGACAGGGAATTACGCACAGAATTAACATGGTCACAAACCATCAAAATATCACCAAGGTCACATTTATCAACAGCTACACTAGCATGCTCGGTCTTCTTAGGTTTAGGGCAATCCTTAATGAAATGGTCAGCGTTACCACAATTATAACACACTCTCTTCCTAGATTTGCTCCTCTTTCTCCCAGGCTGACTAGTGTTCTTACTTTGACTATTTTGCTTAGAGTTCTTAGACCTACCCTTAGATCTACCTCTAACAAACATAGCCTCACCGGAGTCCCTGGACTGACTAGCACTACCCCTAGCATGCTTCAGGTCTAATTCCTTACTCCTTAACCCATTAACAACAATATCTAACGAAATCTCATCCCTACCATACTTAATAGCGGACTTAACATCATTATAAGAGTCGGGAATGGCATTAAGTAATACTATGGGAGTATAATCGTCTATGTGTTTATCACCTGCCTGTTTGATATTCTGTATCAGTTTATTAAACACATCCAGGTTCTCATCTATATCCTTGGTCAGGTCAAGCCTAAACCTAAAGAATTTCTCAAGTAAAAACAACTTCCCGGGCAAAGAGGTATCAGTATAGAGACTATCCAATTTCTCCCACAATTCCTTAGCGGACTCAAGAATACCCACTTTCCTAAGCACAAAATCAGACAGATTCAAGTAAATAGTAGAACAAGCAGTTTCGTTCATTTCAATTTGCTTAGCATTATCTTCTGATTCAAGGAAAATACCAGTGACAGCTCTGAAAACTTTTTGTTGTATTAAAACACACTTAATTTTCTGTTTCCAAATATCAAAATCTGTTTTTCCATTAAATGGAAGCATACCATACTGATTAGCAGTCATGGTATCAACCACAAAACAACACAAAGCTAAACAGACAAATTTGACAGAAAATAATCCAACCCGGGATATAAAGTATACACTTTAATAACCCCGGGTAGCATGCAACAAATAGCAAATATGGACAGTTTGGCACATAAAACAACTCCGGGC